TCGTGCCCCCCAGGGCCTCTCTGCCAATCTATGCTGAGGGGCGGGGCTGCCACAAAATGATCCCAGAATTGGAAATTTACACCACAATCAGCCTGTGAAAATTGGCACGTCCCCCAGTGATTTATGTATACCCCTACTTATAAAGGCAATTCTGGTGTCCTGAGGCATTTTCTTCCTATTTGTCTAGGCCAGGGTGAAAATAAACCAAATCATCAATCACCCCATGTTTTACTACTGAGTACCTCATCCTGCCCCTCTAGTGCCAGGCAGTACTACACTTAGGCTGCACCTGGTACCTACTAGAAAAGAAGCTGCCTTACGTGATGGCAAAAGGTGCAATTTTTGAAGGCACCTAAATTCCACTGAAAATTATTGGGATTCCAAGTCATTTGGAGGCCTCAGAAAATACTACCTAGGAGTGCATGTCACTCTGCATAGACACTCTTCTCCAAACTTCTACATTATGAAATCCTTCCTTTTAAAATTCATGAACTGGTGAAACAGAAAGCCAAACCCCAGCCTGTAATGGTCCCTGAAGGAATTTCTCCAGCACATTCCACTGGAGATGCTATTTGACTACTAATCCTATTTCAAACAAGAGTTTATCTTGACTCTGCATTGTTAAACAGCTGCCACGTGTTATTCCAGAGACAGCTGAAGTGGGACCAGAGCAGGACAAAACTTAATGACTGTGTAAAATATCTGGAATCTTCACCTGAAGAGTAAGAGAGAGAAGCACAAATAACAATCTGCAGAGTGCAGCTGTATCTGCCAGGACTATAAGAGCTTAGTGGCTGCCCTTTGAAAAATTATGTGATGATTTCTCCTTTCTTCCTCTTCCTTGCCATAGATCTCATGAAAGTTTGTGGCCTGGCCCCTATGCCACCACCCAAGGCAAATATCATTTAGAATTAAAAACTTAGGACTGTTCAGCCAGGCAGGAATAAGGCTGGCCCACATACTTTTGGGTGTGTTACTACGGAAAGAACACAATATTCACAACTCCACCCTGGAGCAGAAAGATTTTATCTCTTGCAGCTTGCATGCTGCTCAGCGTTTGAACATCTACCTTGTGACTTCAGCAGGAAGCAACTGTAAATAATAAAGACTTAAGGCAAAATTACGATGGCTCTACACAAACAGTCCCTGCTTTCTGATACATTCAAGGGAAGTTCACAGACTCCGCAGTCTATGAGAATGCAGTCAGGCAGCTCTTTTTCACAACAGAAAAAGCAATACTTCTATGTGATCCTAGAATAAGAGTCCTACCTAGCACAAACATTCATCCCTCACTGCTTTCAGTTACCCACCCAAATTAGTAAAATGATTTTTAGCAGGGCTGATCCTCCCATGACTTAAACACCTGTAATGCACATTCCATCCAGCAAGAGCACACACCAACTGCTGAAACTTCCTCAGCATGATGAAGGGTTTTTAAACCCAAAAGCTTGCTTTAAAATAATCTTTTTCCAACTATTTAAGTTGATCTCATAAAAGATATCAGATTCACCCAAAGAACCTTGTCTGCCTATGTCCTTAGACCAAAACAACTACAACCTACACCCCTGCAATGCATTATGAATCCATCTAGACCTTAGACCAATAATGCTTAGATGTCTAACAAAACAAAGTTAAATGTTTTGTTTAAAGCACCCACTTTTGGAAGGCCTTTCTTAAAGGACTCATCCAATGTCACGTGGAATCAGTATTTGTGAGGTCCTCTGCCCCATTTTCTATCCACCAGCCTATGTGAAAACTTCAGCCAGGGTATCTTTGAAAAGAAATACTGCTAAGTACTCAGCTTTCCTTAAATCAACAGGAACCGGATGATTAGCTCCTCTTTGTACCTTCTCTTTATTCTCTAAAGGGCTTTTCTCTTCTAGAAAATATTTTCATTAGGCACATTGAAAATATAACCCTTTTATTTGTCTCTAACGTCTTACCAGGAAACCTTTTTACTGCATTTTCCCCTTCTGGGATTTAAAAAGCTTCAAATCTTATTATTTAAATTAGTATTACTTAAGTTTGTCATCCATTCCTTGAAAATGAGGAACAGTGGATGGCCCTGTGGTTGAAGCAGCATACAGAGGCTGAACACTGATGTTCTGTTTCTGGGTCTGTTTCAGGTGGCTACATGACTTTGACCAGACTGTGTTTTCTGGGCCCCTATTTCACATTTATAAAATGGGACTTGAAGGACCTCACAAAAGTGCTGAAATTCTTCAGCAGCTGTCCAATTCTGTTTTGAAGTTACCCTCAACAATCTCAATACAGATCTTTATTCTTGGACAGCATCTACATGTTCCACACATGCTCAGAGCTCTCCTGAAAGCTCTGACCCGTGTGGGGTATGGAACCTGCTTTCATCCATGGAACTTTCCACGGGAGGTGGCATAAGGAACCTCTAATGATACTTGGCGCTTTCCATTCCTAAAGCACTAAGTCAGAATTCCTTCCAGGCCTTTCTTCTTATCTGTTTTACTGATTCTTTAGTTACGGTATTTTGCATATACAGTTAGTAATAGTCAGTAACTCTAGCAGGGAAAGTTAGATTCCTTGTTCTCCCTATATACACACTTAAGGGTGGGCAAACATAGAAGAAACTGGAAGTTCACTAGGGCTTCCAGAAATTTAGGTGCTGATCCAAACTTCCTGGCCCTCTTCCGTTCTGGTCACCCCATCTCAAAAAGGATGCAACAAAACCAGGAAAGGTAGAGAAGAGCAACAAGGATGATCAGTGGTACAAAACTGTTCCACACAAGAAGAGACTAAAAAGACTAGGACTTCTTGGTTGCACCCACACAAGCCTGGACGTTTGGTTCCCTGGGGACAACTAGCAGTGGCACACCTTGTGCTGCCGCTAGTTGTCCCTGGGGAATGCCTATGATGTGCCCTCTGGTGCATGGCAGGTTATTCTGGGTGGGTGGGAGCAGTTGGGACCAGCACTGGGGTGGACCCAGCAGCCTTACCTGGGGTCCTTGGTGTAGCGGGCAAACTGAGTTATGCTAAGGCTTTCTGACCACACTGGAGGGCAGGGAACAACTACAGGCAGACCTGGACA